TGATCAACTTTATAAGATAATGATCTAATGGTCTAAAGTTGCACGGTGGCAATTTTGTAATTATTGAGAAGTCTCGTGGCATTTATTAATGTTCAGATCCGACGATTGTAGATCTAATCCAAGGATTGAGAATTGGTCTTACGGGTCTCACGAAAAAACATTGGTCTCATATGATCCCAAGTCATATATATATATATATATATATATATATGGAAGGGTTCAAACGAGAACCCCTATGATTACGAGAATGCGAGAACAACCAAATAACCTCATATTGTGATAAAAATTAAAATTAAAAGATTTTTAAAATTAAAATTGAAATTTAAAAAGATTCAAAAATATTAAAAATAAAAGGGTAATAATGGAAATGATATCATAAAATCTTTTAACACGATTACACACGATCATGATTATCATTATCTAATAAACGGTTAATCATGTGATATGGGTGTGATAATCATGTGATTATCACACTAACGCTTATATCAACACGATTTGGGTGTGATATAGGTATGATAATCATGTGATATGGGTGTGATAATCATGTGATTATCACACTAACGCTTATATCACATTATCGCTTATATCAACACGATTTGGTGTGATAATCATGTGATTATCACACAATTATCACAAGGATTCTGCTCGGCTAGGGTTAACTTAGAAAATCGACTACCGATTTGATGTGATATGAGTGTGATAATCATGTGATATCACTATCATAACAGCGCACTCGATTTGATCATGGTTTCGATCGGTTATGGTTAGACAATCACACATTTATCACAACGATTACTAATGGTTTCGATAGGTTAGGATTAGACAATCACACATTTATCACAACGATTACGGGCGACATCCACTAAACGATTTGGTGTGATATGAGTGTGATAATCATATGATATCACTATTATAACATCACTTGTGCACTCAATTTGATCATGGTTTCGATCGATTAGGGTTAGACAATCACACATTTATCACAACGATTACTCATGGTTTCGATAGGTTATGGTTACACTTGACTGATCATGGTTTCGATAGGTTATGGTTACACTTGACTGATCATGGTTTCGATAGGTTATGGTTACACAATCACACAATTATCACAAGGGGAAAGAAGAGAGTGGAAACGAACGTGCAGGAAAAAAAGGGATAATTATGACTAATTAAAATAAAATAAAAATTATAAAAAGTACTTAATTACATTACCGCCCTTACTAATTTATTTATATTTAATATAAGTTAATTKATTAATTAAAAAAGTTTGAGGTTATTAGGTTGTTCTCGCATTCTCGTAAATCACAGGGGTTCTCGTTTGAACCTCCACCTATATATATATATATATATATCTATATATATATAGAAGTTGGTTATTATATAACCCTTGACATTTGTGCAACAAATACAACTCAATCTCAATCGTCCATTTTATTTGATAAATATGTGATTTCATAGAAGTTTTGATTGTTTTCTAATATAAAGTATTAATCATAATTAATGAACCCTATATATATATATATATATACATGTAGAGTCTATTTTTTTACATATTCAATAATTCATAAATAGTTACAAAATAATTTTTCTATATATGAAAGAACACGTATAAAAATATAAGTTTGTACAACATTGTTTCATATGTAAAACCAGGATGGACCAGTGAAGGATCGCATGGGAGGGAGAGGGGGTCTTGTGCACCCAGTTGAAGTTTTTGAAGGTATAAAAGGTGCACATACTAAACTATGAGGGGTGTTAACACGATATCAAAAAAAAAATTAGAAACATCAAACAAGAAACATAAAAATCCCTCGAAATCAACCAAAAAACCCAAAAAGTTTATTCAAAATCAACAATAAAAAAATACTTTTAGTACAAGGGGTGTGTCAAATAAACTAGAGTCCAACATATACAGACAAAGATATAGAATTTAGGGGTTCACATATCTTGAATTTGAGTTTTTTAAGGTTGAAATTTTCCTATTTGAAATTTTAAGACTCGATGAAATTAATCGAGAGAGATGCACATACACGTAAGCTAGTGCGTATACTTATTGTTACCCAAAAAAAAATTACAAGTAACATATAGAGTGAATTTTTCAAAAAAAAATTACAAGTAACATATAGGGTGAAGGAGGCGTTGGAGGTAATTCTCATGGTGTTCATTTGGGTGTTATAGGCGAATCGCAATTTGCTGGTTTTCAACAAATCTCCTAAAAGCCCGGTGGTACTTTCCAAGGAGATCGTACTTTTTTCATATAACTGGCTTAGAGTTAGATTGAAGTGTTGTAATAATCTCGATAGGAACGCTTGGTGTATCAGCCCTTTATCGGCTTTGTTGTAAGTGCTAGTCTCTTGCTAGCCTCCAGTGGTTTTGTTAATAAAGTTGTTTCTAAAAAAAATGGATTGTTGTAGCTTCTAGACACTCATTTTTATGCAGTTCCTTTATATATATATATATATATATATATATACATGGGATCACGTGAAACCAACATGTTTTCATGAGAATTGTAAGACACATTTGAAACTTCACATCAATATATTGTGAATGTGCCGTCACGTGAACCCAACCGTGTATATATATATATATATATAATTTGTTTTAGTGATTAATTACTTGTATTAAAGGTTTCAAAGACAAAGTAAAAGAGAGTAGATCAAGTCCATGATTCATGTTAAAATTAGAGCGAGTATATATTTTTCACAAACCCTATATATGTGATGTATGTTTATATGATGAAAAGAATATGAACATTACATATAATCAAAGTGCTTAGCTAAATCTTGGGTACTAACAAATGTACCATGAAAGCCGTATGGCACTCTACTCGGTAATCTCACTTTCCCCAACTCTTTCATGCTTGAAGCTTCAACTATAACCAACTCCGACTTTCCTCCATCTTCGTCCCTAACATAACTCATTATATACCCTTCCTCTTCCTCTTCTTTCTCACTGTTTCCTACCGAAACGAAACACGGTTCGCCACCGAACCTCTCCTTTCCATACAAAAACTTGGAGACATATCCCGTCTCCAAGTCAACCTTGGCCATACCACTGCATTTTGGCCAAGGATCCGCTATCGCCAAATAAATGTAGCGGCTCTTACGACCTAGCCACCTTTTATTCACATTGCCTGCCTCCAAGTTCATCCCCGGTACAATAACCCGTTGGCTTGACCCTCCGGTTGTCGTGTTTAACCGAATCTCGGTTAATTCGCTTTGGAGAGGGGTATCGTTGGTCTCGTTAAAGATGGCGTCTGGAGGAGTCATACACGACCCGATTACTACCATGATTTTATCCCCGTTTTCGGTTTCTTCCTCCCATGCATTCCATAAATGGAAACAAAAGCAATCAGGTACGTCGATCCACTGGATACTCGATTCGTTTTCGGCGGATTTGGGTAAGACACCGTATCTGGATACTTTATTCGGGTCAAGTATCACGGGTGACCTGCCCCGTACCATCTCGGATAACTTGAATACAACTTGGTGATCTGGAATGATCACGTGACTTTGCGTGATTGCAAAGTCATGAATCATTGTCGGCTGATTCAATGAAATGGACACCTCACGTGACTTCTGACCATTTTCTTCGAAACTGAAGAATTTAAGGTAAGGTTTCTTTACAACATCGTAACTCAATGAGAAAAGGTCACCTGTAACAGGGTCCACCTTAGGGTGCGCAATCATTGGACAATTAACTTGTCCGTCATAATCAAACCGTCCATCCGTCACGAGATCACCATCGCTTTTTATGCGGACGCTGTACGGCAAATCATCCTCCGACATCGCGAGCAAACGGCCGTTAAAGTAAACCAACCCAGCATTCGCGACGCCGATCCCATGAGCCGAGTCTAACAAGCCGGCTGCACCTCTGGCGTAAAACAGCGCAAGCCGAGCCAAACCGAGGTGGCCATGCAGCTCGCCAATCGGCTTCGGAAAACAAGGGTGGCCCAGTGATAATTCTTGCTTTAGACGGCTCGTCCGAGTGAACCGGCAGCTGTAGCTGGCTTTATTCGCCGGTCCTAACGTGACGGCGTGTATCATCCCGTCGCCGTCGAATAAATGGTGGCCGCCGGTTGGCTTGAACATAGGGTTGGCGCCATTTCTAAGGTAAACCCCACATAAATCAGAAGGTATCTCACCGACCACCTCGAGCCCATGATGAACCGGACACTCAGGAACCGGCGCAAAGTTTCCGGCGAGTTGAACCGCCGGATCAACCGGGCTAGGTAGTTTGTGATCCTTTTCAAGTCCCATAAGTGACCTTTCCACCAAGTTTAGAGCCGAGGATGCTAGTTTTTGAAGTGGGTTAAGCTCCGGTGGGGAAACGGTTGATAACTCCGGCGAAGGTCTGGAAATTGGTTTTATCTCAGGCGACAATGACGGCGATGAAAGTTTCCGGGATGGTGTTTTTATGGTGGGGTGATGATGTATTTGAATTGTGCATTTAATTGATAGGGGTTTATTTGAATAATCTAATGTTGTGGTTGGATAGTTTGAGAGACTGAGAGAGGCTTCCATTTTTGGAGAAAGTGGCCGGCGGCGGTGGTTGTAGGTGGTGGTGCATGAATGACAGAATGAGTGTCTGAAATATATAGGAAGTTAAGGTTGGGTTAAAACTGAAAGGGTGCAGCCACGTGGGATCTTTTAAGGTGATCCACCTGTCAGTACATACGAGACGTGGACAATCTGCCGAGGTCTTTGATTTTTACAGTACCAGAAAACAAGTCCCGATTTGGTTTTGTTCTTGCATTTGCAAGTTGCAACGAATTACTTTCTAACCGAATCTTTTATAAATGGTTCATGTACCTAAATGAAATATTATTAGAGTAAATTACATTTTTAGTTACTATGGTTTCTTAAAAATTGCAATTTGTGGTTTCAAAACTACGGTTTTTCTCTTCATGATTTATAATTTATTATTATTTTCATTCTAAAACTAGTTCTTACCTTTTTTAAGAAATTTTGAATCCACAAATATATAAAAATACATATAAATTTATTTATATTAATACATGCATATTTTAATTACACAATAATTGTAAAAATAAATCATCAAAATTAAAGATAGGTGAAAATTTTGAAATACAAAACTACAATCTTAAATAATGTGGTGTAATGTAAATTACTAATGTTTATAATTCATAAATCGTATTGTTATGCCCAACATAAATCTTCAAACTCTCCAACGAGATTATACTACTATCAATTAGTCAAGACTTTAACTGTTCAGTAATTAAAATCAATCGATATGTGTGTGTGTGTATATATATATATATATATATATATATATATTCAAAATCAATCGATATATAAAGAAATGAAAATAAATAAACAAATAAAAGGTTCAACTTGTTATTATTATAGAGAGTCAAGAGTGGATCTAGAAGTTTAGCTAAATGAGGTCAAATTTAGAAGTGTTAAAAAAATTGAAATTAAGGGGCTGTTTATCCAATTGCTTATCCGGTAATTGCTTATTCGGTAAGTGATTACCGATAAGAGTCAACACTATGATTTATTTGATGCATAAGAGTTTAGTACATCAAAACATGTTGAATGCAACAATTAACGGGTAAGCGCTTACCTGGGTAATAGTCATCATCCTCACTTACCGGATACGACTCTCCATCGTTCTCATTACTCTTATTCGATAAGATTTTTGACCCGTCCCATGTTCATTTAATGAGAAAATTTATCCAATAAATAACCCATTTGAGTAGAAATCGTTTCATGTTATTTGGTTTTTGTATAAACAATTCATATATAGTTATTTTTTATTTTTTTACTATTTTAGTTGCAAAACAAATTATACCATGGTTTTATACACTTTATGCATATAAAAGAACTAATATATAATATATCAGTTTAATGAACATTAAAATAACAAAATATTGGGACATATGTAATAAATGAATACCTAAAAACAAGATATTTATATTGAAACAAAATTATTAAAATTAATTAATTCTTTTGGTTTTTGGGGAAAAATTCAACCGTGTTGGGTCTTTAAAAAAAAGTGAAAGGGTTTTTTTAAGCATGGAAACAAACAATATGTGAAGGATAAAAAAAATTAAAGTTTGAACTACACGTTTAAATAAACATAAACTATCTTATTGATAGGTTAAATAGAGTAAAAGATTTTTATCATTTTTCTAATTATAACCTTTATGAATATTAATTGTAATTTATTATTATTAGTTATTA